GAGGTTGTTTGCTTATGCAACTGCAATGTAAATCTTCACCTTATCTTTAGGCCTTTGTATAAGTCTGTTATATAATATAAGCCCTAACCCGTCTTAGGATTCTGAGGTTGTCGTTCGTCACAATCTAAATCTTCACATCTTCTAGGCTATTTGTGTGATCGTTTCACACAAATGTAAGCCCTAACTAATAAAATTGGCAGGATGAAACATTCAAATAATTTCTCTTCTAAACTGAAGCCAAACAATAGGATAGATTGAGAAATCACCGAGGTTCTCTTCCGGATCAATGACATCCCTTAGTTTTTCCTCCTTTGGATTTCAAAAACAAATGTTCGAAATCCGAACCATCCCATTTTACACTTCTTTGTCTGATTTCATCGAAAAGTCCTATCCTTTTGAACCCTTGAAGATAATATTTTCTAATTTTTATCGAGAGTTTTATTAGGTGACTTCGGTTATCTAAGATGTAATTAACTATATGGGCTTGCCCTTACGAGAAGCTTGTCTGAACCCAGCTTAAAATAAACCCTATTTAATTTTTCATATTAAATAGGGGAAATTGTCGGCAAATAAAATAGTTTCGCAGACCAAACGGATGTCATATATTTCTTAGTATATTTGATCGAGCCTCATCCTCAAGTCTTGTGTTTATCCTTCGGGATAGATATTGAGGTACAGTGATCTTTCATTTAAACTATAAAAAATATGGGGTCAGTTTGATTTCATATTTGAAACTATATATATATATATTAAAATGTCCTTCCAAAGGTGACTAGATTTTGATTCCGGTGACCGACAGCTCCCCACGGGCAACTCCTTAACTAAAATAATGTCGACAGCTTCTGGAGACTCCGTTGGAGACTAGCTTTTCTTTCCATTTAAATCAGGAAGTATTATATTCATACATCGGTAATGTATTCATGTCCCTCTTGGACGAAATTACCTCTCTTCAATTGGCATGTTTTACCTATTTCTGTCTTGGGAAAACACAGTCAACTCTTTGGATTAGAACCGTCTGTTCAATCACCTTTGAACAGGGAGGTTCAGGAGTTCATTAAGGACTTTTTAATCTTCATGTGGGGTCAGACCCCTAATAGGTGTGTTGGTGGACTCATTCCACCTGGGCACTGTGTGTTGTTAAGTTGGTCCCGCATTGGGTCCTAAACACTTCACATCTCCTTTTTGACTTTGATTTGCTATTTTATAAGTTAAATCGAGTTGTGTCATGCTACGCATGCTCTTTAAATTTTCCTTATACTAATTAAATATTTCTACCTTCAAATTATTTTTACTAAAATTGTAAAACCTCCACAAACTAAATAAAGACATATCTGGTCTACAAATCGACCTCTATTAATTTGTAGTGCTCGCACTAACATTATGAGGTATTGGTTAAATAGCTAACCCTAAAGCTTTCTCTTTTTAAAGCTGCTGCAA